CTCATTAATCCACATTACATAAGCCTCAAATTTCTAATCCATCTTCATCTCCGCGGAAAAACTCTCAATTAATCCACATCACTCAAACCCTAATTGAACTTAACATAAGTCAGACAGAGAAAAAATAAAAAAAGGTAGTTGCTATTTCGGGTTCCCCTCACACATACGGGCTGCTCGAAAAGAAAACCAGCGAGGGACCGATGATGGTCGAAAGTGCCGCTGCTCCAGTTAGGACGATAGCTCGAGGTGCTGGCTCGGCAATGGCTGGGGTCCGTAGAAAAATAACCGACGGCTGCTTGTTGAAAAGGGTCGATTGTTGCTCGTCTGAAAATTTCGACGGGGAGTGTTGTTTCGGGGACAGCCGACGAAAGATGATGGGGTTGCCGCTGTTGTTCGACCGTTGAACGAAGGCCGACGAGGAGTACTTAATTAGATGGATCCGTAATTGTTGGCTAAATCATATAGTTATTTATTATATGGCCAACTTTCGTATGTTTGCAAATAAGTAATTACTTTCGTAAATTAACAAATAAAAGAAAATTGGCTCGTACCACGCGTAATTTCCTCAATAAATAAAAATTATCACCAACACATTCAATAAGTTCTTATCCAGGCCATGCCAAACCAACCTTAGACTCATTAGCTGTTACACAAAAGATATAAAAAAAAACACAAGTACCAAAGCCAACAAAAAATGATCATTTAATCTTACCAGTCATGCAATAAAACATCAAAACAACCACACACATTTCACAAATCTCTCTCACATGTTGGAATAAAATTACTCAATAAACGCACTGGGGAAATAACAATTATATAAAAATTGGATATAAGCAATTATTTTGTTGTCCATCCAGCATAGTCCGTCCTGATGATTTATACCAAAGCTTTTTACTCACAAAGATCTCAGAAAGAGGTATCTACAAAAGTCATCAGCAGAATATTTCCAAGTTTGAAAAATTAACTGTTCACACACTCATACGTTTCTCTGATCTTTAGCCACTTTGCAAACCTCGCCGAAGATCAACCACGTCAAACTTGAGATTAGAATTCATATAAACATGTGAACAATGCTCGTAAATGGGAGTCCCATCCTCAGGCTCTTCGTGAGAATGAAAACCTCTCTGTTGACAGTTTCGAATGACAGAAACGCCCCCGGGATCAGAAAGGTGGAATATGCCATGAGGACTGGAATATAGATAAAGTCAAAATCAATCCTTCGAGTAAGGAGTTTCTCGAATAATATTATTCTTGAAACTGATTAAAGCTACTTTTTATTTTGCAGTAGAGCATTTCACCTTGATGTATCAGTAGGAGCCATGACAATTGCTATTGCTTCTGGCAACATGATCTATAAACAAGTCAAAAAAACTCTCAGTACCATCTCAGTAGAGTAAAATCAAATTGAACTTATTGACTAATTTAACTTTGTCACGATCTATCCGTATATAGTTTCCAAATAATGCTTATTCATACCACTAACTACCCAAATTTGCAACATGTATTACATCACACACAACATTCCTCCGGAGTTGCACTATTTTTTTTTTTTTTTACATGCAAAAGAAACAAATTTTCCATCCTTTTATTTCCTCAGCCCCATTAAAGAAAGAAAGAAAAAAAGAGATCAAAAGTGGAATATTGACAAAGAAAGTTACAACAAACACCACAAAAAACTTACCTGATATGCGTACTGAGTGTGCAAATCAATGGATGACATGAAACAAGTTTGTGTAGGATGCGTCTGCAAATCAAGAAAAAAATGTGAATAGAATCTAGATAATTAATGCTATCTACATTCTTCACAAGCAACTACTGAGCTATTTTCCAATCCCAACCAAATATCGACAAAACTAAATGTTGACTAAGCTAATAAGTGGCTAAAAGGTTGGGCAATCCGGTCATGCTAAAGATCTAACAGAAAAAACCGAAATGAAATATAAAGCACAGCAGCCGAACAAGTATTAACACTTACATGAATCCATCCAAGAGGAAAAACAGAATGCTTAGCTTGAACATCGAAAATTTCCTCCTCATTCAACGCTTCACACTAATTAACAATAAAAGGAAATATCAATAGAACATCAACAAGAGAACGCTAAACAGTAGCACATTGGATAAATGAGAGACTTGAAGTTAGAAGCAATAGCTACCAACTATTACAATCTTGATATTTAAAAATTATGCCCTCAACAAAACATGTAAAGTTTGTATTTTTTCTGGAAAAGGAAAACATAAGCAAGAATCCTTTCTGTCACAAAAATGAACGAAATGTGGTTGCTTTCAAGATTTATTTGATAACAACACTTACAGATACTCATAGTCCTAGACTTCAGCATAAAATAAAAACATCTGTTCATTATAACTTTATATATAAATGACTGAAGATTCCATGTCTAATTCAGGCAAACAACACGCGTGAACGCCACTGGCAGACACAGTATTAGCAAAAGGCAGAATTTGAAACAAAAAGGTTGCAAAATGCATTTAAATATTAGGATGCATATGGTACCGAATATGAAGTAGACGTCTGCTTTGGTATAATGAGCGTGTTAATACGAAATGCACTATTCTCCTGCAAGTCATGAAACATAATACATCATCAAGCATGGGATGCTTCAGCCAGATGTCATTTGCTTCGAAAATTGCTACTGAAACTAGAAACTTACCAGTGGACCAACAAGAATTCCACAAGTTTCCAAATTCTTTGCAGTATTTTCTCGTGCCAATTTTAAAAAATCTTCCATTATCTTCACAGGCTACAAAATAAGAAACATACAGGCATCACATCCTCCAAGATAGTAACCCAAAATGCAATTAAGAAAATCAATTTGGTGCATTTAACTAAAAACAATAAAATACACCAAGCCCCCTGCCAATTACATTAAGTGTCAAGAGAAACACTCACGATGTGAAGATCCCGGTAAGAATTCGAACCAGGCAGCCCGTCCTCAGAGAGCTTATGAGGGCCGGGCCTTGGGTCCGCAACTTTAGATGGAGAGACGGGAAGTGCCTCTGGCTGCACTCGAGCCATAATGGAAGGTGGAGAAGGTTGCCTGATAATAATAGTGACACAAGATTGTAACGTTACTAGCAAGTAATTCTATAGGTGCGTTGGATGAATCTGGATTTATACGTGTGAATAAATATATGATAAAAAGCATAGTGTAACTAAACTAAATTAAATGATCACCACCATCCCAAGCGGTATAGTAATATAATAAATTTGAGGAACTTGCTAAATCTAAATATAAACTATACCTTGAAAAATCACTTGAATCCAAATAATTTTTTTTTTAAAAAAAATAATAGAGTACAACACGTATATATTTGGAAGGTAGGTCAGATAACACGTGTGAATGTTTAAATGAAAAATACTTAATTCTCCAACAACTATAACGTGACATGTCTATAAAACAATAAATTACAACTAACCAGCTGGTTAATCTTATGACTTACATCCCACAAACCTTAGTTTCAGTTTAATCTTTCTTTGAATATGTAACACTTTGGCACTCTAACTACCCTAATAACTTATTAAACTAAATTTAAGACATCAAAGTTGCTAAATTTTTTCCTTAAACTAAGCTAGAGGTATCAAACATCTCTAGCAGAATCAATATTGAAGGGAGATAATAAATTAAGCCAACAGTATTGCCTGTACAAGATCAAGTGAAGATCCTAAATGAAATCAACCTAGTCAAATTACATTGATAAACATATTCTTATACAACAGATATCAATTACTCGTGACAATATCTTAACAATCATGTAGAACATGAAGTAACATTCTAGCAAAAAGAATTAAAATCGACTAGCAACGGCATGTTCGAACCAGGAATATAGGAGAAGGCACCTCAGTAGCTAATTTTGGTATGTAAAGGAGAAGGTTTAAAATATAAACTAAAAACCAATGTTACGGAGTTAATAGCACTCACAGCTTCAATGAAGATGAGGGAGGCGTCATGGGATCAAACATCTGAGCGGAAACAGATCAAACATTATTATTTATATATTATATATATATATATATATATAGAAGAGATAGAGAGAGATAGAGAGAGAGAGGCATTTGATATTCCAGTTATTACAAATATTCATAAAATTAAAACATTGCACATACTTCTTTCTGATCAAAGAGAAACACATAAAATCTAGCCAATTAATAGGTCAAAGTATTATAAGTTGTTCTACTTTACAGGGCAAACCTATCTATGGAAGAGAGTGGGAGTTAGGGTTGTAAACGAATCGAATCAAAGCGAATACCCAGAGATTCGATTCGATTCGTTTAAAATATTCGAAGATTCGATTCGTGATTCGATAGCGAATTCATTTTTTGATTCGTATTCGATTCGTTTAGAATATTCGAACATATTCGATTCGATTCGAAATTCGTTTTCAAAAAAATATTATAATTAAAAAAATATTATAATTACAAAAATAAATTTTATTTTTCATATATTTTTAGAAAATTTTGTCAATTTATGATGTTTTTACTTTTTATGTCATAAAAATATTAGGAATATAACAATATATATGTATACATATATTATAAACAAAATGTACATTATATATAATTTGTATAAAAATATTATAATTACAAAAATAAATTTTATTTTTCATATATTTTTAGAAATTTGTTAATTTATGATGTTTTTACTTTTTATGTCATAAAAATATTAGGAATATAACAATATATATATATATATACACATATTATAAACAAAATGTATATTATGTATAATTTGTAAAATTTATATAATTATCGTTAACGAATTGAATATTCGAATTTCAAATTGAATATCTACACATTCGAATTCGAATTCGTTATAATTTCGAATCTAAAACATCATTCGAATTCGAATATTTCGAATTCAAATCACAAATATCGAATTCGAATCACGAATCGAATAAAAAATGTTTGATTTGTTTACAACCCTAGTGGGAGTGACATGAGAAGCTATCATCATCTATATCCAATCGACCAAGAAATAGCTTCACTTCCAAAAGAAGACGAGAACTTATTTGACACAATAGTTGAGCAACATTCAGTATGCTTTTGAGTCAATCGGCCAAATAAACAAATATCAAACTGGAGCTGAACAAGGTTCCAATTACTTGCATAAGTTTTTATATGAAGTAAACTATCAATACCAAACAGAAATTCCCGCAGCATAAAGAATTATCGAACCGAAAAGTAATTATTCAACATCATACCTTCGGTCTCACATGAATTTTGGCTTTCATGGAGAAAAGGTTGTTTTAAAGTACTTAATGGACAAATCAGAAGCTCCGAACTACATACCTAGCTTGGTTCTACAATTGCCCTCAGCAACAATAATTCTAATTTTTCCTCAACCTCTACACAAAGATATACTACAATAATAATAATAATAATAATAATAATAATAATAATAATAATAACAACAACAACTACTACTATTATTATTGTTATTATTATTATTATAATAATATTAATATTAATAATATTGAGAGTGCAATATTTCTTAGGGAACTAGAAATGATGAAAATGTTTAGCATGTTCATTTTTTAAAATAATAATAATAACAATAATAATAATAATAATAATAATAATAATAACAACAACAACAACAACAAAAATAAGCATGCTGATGTAGTTGAGTTGTGATGTTATCTTTTTCTGGTTCATCTACCTGACGGCTCACTTTTGGCTTCAGCGTCTCTAGCTCATCTAGCACGCCATGTACTTTCTGCAGTAGCATGCATAAAGAAAAGTTATCTAGTAGTTCCTCATATGAAGGATGGCACCATCATGTAAATTACCAGAACGCTAATGTTACCTTCATGTGTAAACTTCTTTCTTTGGGACATAAAGTCTGGTAATCGCTATGGGAAGGTATGGTTTCTGACACCAAACTGTTTCAGTTCAAAGCATAATCTCACAGCATTAGTAACTAATCATAAACACAGACATTGGATATACAATCAATCTTAAGCTTTACAATGAATATCTTAGCAGCATAACAAACAAGTCTTTTAAGTTCTTCTCCTCCCTGTATATATTTGCCTGCACAATAATGACATGAGAATTAATTATCAGTCGACAAATGTCAGATTCTTTTGCAATCTAACAACCTCCAACCTTATATGGAGAATAAGGAACAAAAGTAAACCAAGTTAAACATCAAAACCACCGATACTAATTGATACTAATTGCTGATTTACGGCCAGGGGCGCTGAAAAATTAATCGGTAACTTAAGAAATCAACTAACCTAAACCATGAAACACTAATCGATAACTTAAGAAATCAACTAACCCAAACCAACGGGGACCAGAAATCAAACAACGCATTATCAAATTTAAGCAACGAATCAAACACAAGAGGAATATCAACCAGTCGTACCAGATAAAGACAGTAAAGAGCAACTCCTACGCCTACATAACAAAAATCCGCTTGATATCCACCGATATCAACTCACAGATTAGGGCTAAACAACAAATCTACCGAATTAGAGTTTTAGACAAACTTTCTTCGCCTGCAATGTACAGGTAGACGCGCTTCCAATCCTTTAATCAATCAAAAGGAAGATAAGTGTGAGTAAAAACCTGTTTGAGGAGATTATCGGCGGTGCGATAGTAAACGCGGAGACAGATCCGGTTGTCGACGTCGATCTTCTGATTCATGGCAATGCTATAGAGCGACGGTGAAGAGTATGCCGGCCGTCTCATTTTTCTTTTTCCGGTCCCGGCAGGATATCGTTTTCTGCTGATACGCGGGGGCAAACAAGCAAAACTGGGTCGTTTTCATAGGTATTCCAAGCTTAGGGCTTCATCCTTTATCAAATAATTGGTTCAAAATGAGTTATTTGATTAATTATAGTTAATTTTAAAGATATATGCTGTAGTTATTTTTAGTAGAAATTTCAGAATATATTAAAATAATATTTAAAATAAAATGATTAAAATTGATTTAATATAAAAATAAAAGATAAATAATTGGAAGTGATAGTTAGTTAAAATTATATGAGTGGATGAATAGTGAATTAAAGTTAATGTGATGTACAAGAGTAATTGTTTATATTATTTAATTATACTAATAATATTAAAAATAAAATTAGATTTTGAATATGAGATAAAAGTGAATGAAATATCTAGTATGGGCATCAATTTTCTATATATAGGTGTTGGAGTTTGGATGAGCACACAACTAGGCGTTTAAAGTTTTTGCACAAATATTAAAGACACATTAATTAATAAGTAAATTGACTAAACTAACCTTATTTATTGAAAATCACTATGTATTTATCGTTATAATTGCAGCTATAAATAAGGGCATATTTGACAAAAAATGGAATAATTTACATTGATTTTGATGTACGCTTTATATTTCAAAAAATTTAAAAATTTCTTATATGCCTTATATTTCAAAATGAAGAGAATATTATTTATGATTACTATCATTACCCCAGTTTTTTTCAATGCATATGGACTAATGTCACTTTCTTTGGAGCTTTTTGGATTGTTCTCACGTGTGCCAAACAAAGTATTTTTCTTTTTTATTTAACAATAAATATTAAATACACAACAGTAATTATAGTTGAAGTGTTATTAAATTAACAAACAAAGCCAAAGTCCACCCATTAAAGAAGCACTATAATTCACAAAAAATACAAAACTTAAAATCGCTCGAATTCCTTTTCTGTCCCTCTGCCTGCTTAAAAAAGCACACTAAAAGAAAAAACATAAACAAAATTGATAACGAAGTTTGGTCAATATTGTCTACGTACTCGGGCACCGTCTATTGCAATGCTATACAAGGGTTAAATAAAACATAAATTAGAATTTTTTTAATTAAAATTCTTTTTAAGATATGAGAGAAGAGAATAAGGTGCAATTGTAATACAAATGTAAGAGACATATTTATACTAAAAAGAGCCTACACATCTTTCGTACATATCCCAAGTGAGAAAAATATTAATTCAAAGGAAAAATAAATGTCGAGTAGAAACAATAGAGTTTGAATTAATCTATTTGGATGAGTCAATCTGTTTGAATTAATCTATTTGGATGAGTCAATCTGTTTGAAACAACTCCGGATTGGTAAGAATCTCAATGACCCATATATCACATGTCATCGCCACCACGTCAGTAATAAGAATATCAATAACCCAGAGATGACATGTCATCGCTACCACGTCAGTAAGCCACTGAAACTGATCATCCAAAAGCTCAACAAGTTAGGCCTTAACCGACAAATGGCCTTCAAACAAGAATAAGACACTAAAACTGGTCATCCAAAAGTTGCACAAGTTAGGCATTAAGGGCGTCTCCAATGGTTAGCTATTTAGCTAACTATTATGACGTGGACAGGGAAAAAGTAAGAGAGAGAGTAGTCACTAGCTACTAACAAATAGCTTATCTATTTCACGTAGCCCAAGATCATGTGAGAGAGGTATGTGAGTCCAATAATATAAAATAGTTATTTTTCTTATCTCTCACATTCACGTCAACTAACCATATAACTAGTAATAGCTATTACCATTGGAGATGCCCTAACCGACAACACGGCCTTGAAACAAGAAGTTATTAAATATCACTCGTGAGTCTCGTTATCCGGTTTGGGTTTCTAATACCTTTTTGATCATTAAACTCATTACATTCATCCTTAATTCATTAAACTCATTTATAATATTGTTTTACTAAAATTATCATTATATCTGTTGTCGAAATCGTACGAAAATAACCTATGATGAAAGAATTTAAAAAAAAAAAAAAAATTGTGTTTAAAAATCCTTTTAAAAAATGAATGTTAAGAAACCTTTGTCATCTTTGATTTTTTATTTTGTTAATTAATGATATCTCTCTCATTCCTTGGAATGATGAATTTAATTGCTCACATCTTCTCATATAGTTTCTAAAATCTTGTTTTGTTTCATGGGGATGACTACAGTTTTGTTACGGAACTATTTCGTCGGGTTTTAACCATAGATACATTATGTAGATTATTAGTGTACATAGATAATATATTGTTAAAAATCTCGACGGAATGGTTTTATTAATGTAGATTCAAAGTTGTTGTTTGCAACGTTGAGGATGTATGCAAATGATTGCCTCAATCAAATCTAATATTTTTCAACTAACTTTTCTTTTGGAAATGATTATAATTTTAACAGTTGGATCTCCAATTATTTCCATCAAACAATATTATTTTCTTTCATGATCATTCAAAAATATTCTAAATAAGTAAATATGAAAAATAAAAATATTGGTCAAATAACTTACAAACGACGTTTCTTTAGCATTTTATTATTATCTTGAGATTTTTTCACATCTTTCTCAACATATTTTACATGATTTATTTTCTACTTTTAAATTTGATTTGAGACATTTATACGAATGATAATCCAAATTAGAGTGGTTAATAACATCAACGTTGAATTTGCTATTTATATTTTTTTATATAATTTTAATTGTAACTAATTTATGCTTGACATAAGTATTTTGAAATTCAAGTTGATAAGCATTTTAGTCATTTTATTCTATTTTATTTTTATTACATTCATTATGTAGTAATCCATCTAGCTCATAATAATTAACACAAAACAAACATTTATACTATTAGGCAAATTCACAGTAATAGTCATCAAAATTGTGCTCACTAAAGGGAGTTGAGGTTTAAGGTTACTTGCTATTTATATGTGTTCGAATGATAAGTTTGTAAAATAATAATAACGTCTCTCCCTAAAATACATTTTATTTTGCTACTCTAATCATTGTTTTATTTTTTCCCTGGGTCGACCCGGGGCCGGGATAGGTCCAGGTGGTGGTTGCTTTGTTTTGTTTTTTTTTTAAAAAAAAAAATAAAATTATGTACATATATATGATAAAATATAATATTATCAAAACTTTAAGATACAAAAATTACATACAAATCATTTTTTTTATTAATTATAATGTTATAAGGTATAAAAGATATAAATGTACTTTTATATTTTAGAAAAGTACTCTGTTGAGCAATTGACCCAACGGTTGGACCGGTAACCCGGAGTCTTTAATCACGGATTCGGGTTTTAAAACTAGGACTTTAATAGTTATAAACTTATTTTATGCTATGGGAAGTCGATATAGAATAGTTTTAGTATATTTTGCTTTGAGTTTTTTTCATTCTGGCCCCACTCAGGCACTCATTATAACCGCTACTTACTTTATTTTCAGGATCAGTGTTGGGGTGAGGGTCACTTTAGGTGTTTTATCAATTATTTGCTTAATCTCCTCATTCATAATCAAGGTGACAGTAAGCACTGAATTGGACAAGTGGTTAGGCTCCTTCAATCCGTTTATAACTTGGATTCCTCTTGTAACCTTGGTGATGGGTTTGTCGGTTATGGGGACGGCGCTATGGAACGACTGGAGTTTTTGGCCAGGACATTTCATTCGAATCCTCACTGATGCGCTGCTTCAAGCCGTATGGCTTGTATGCGTAGGGCTTTGGAATGACTGGTGGGCTGCTGCGATCATTTGCTTATATCTTTACGGAGCGTCGTTTATAATGAATGGCACTCTAGGGTACATGGTAAATAAATACCAAAACCATGTACTAATCCGGGTGTAGGCGCAGTGGTGTTGCATTGGGTAGATGTGGAGAAATTTGGGTGGTTCGTGGTGTTCATAGCAAATGCAAGCACGTTGCTATTGCAGGACTTCTACGGTTATTTCGTGCACCAGTGGTTGGTTGGTTTGATTTTGTGGCTGCGTGGATAAGTAAAATATGTATCAAGACTGAAGTTTGTTTCCTGTTTCGAGGTTGGTTGGTTGATTTGATTTGATTTTGTTGCTGTGTAGGCAAGAAGATTCAGCTGCAAATCTTCAATCTAAAATAAAAAAAAAGGAAAATTCCATTTTCAGTACCTAATCACTACCATGCTTCCATTTTCCGGTACGCCTGCCTCCCAAACACATCAGATTTGGTAATTCATGCTTTGAATTTTCCAATCATTTTCACCAAAGCTGAAAAATAAGGTATAATTGGAGTGCTAAAATAAAACATTCTCTTATAATAACACATAACAACAGATCGCAAATCAATAAAGTTCATATACTAATGAGTCTCAATCACAATATACACACTTCTGTATGGAAAGCAAATGTAAAATCACTCACATTGCTTTCCGATTGGAAATACCCAATAAATAACATACAAATTTTGACTTCACTAAAAAAAAAAGTTAGGGCATACACAAAACTTGGGAGATGTAAAAATGAAAAATTGACTTACTGCTATAAAAGACCATATTCTTCATACATCGAGCTGCCCTGTTCCTCGACCGGCGAGTGCTAGAAGCCAGAGATCGCCCATGCTCCGCCTACGAACCGTCGGCTCTCCGCTTGCCGTCGGAGCTCCTCGGCCAGGCCTCAGTCAGAAGAAAAAACATGAATTTGTTTAAATGACTGTCACCCACAAAATTGTATAAAAATTAATTGAAAACTTGAAAAGACTCTGTAATAATACTATGTTTGTTGAATCGAAAGATCAGAAAAATTCTTAGCTGAAAATGTATTTTTATTTCATCCAAAATCCCAATCCGTACGTACAAGACACATGCATATTTATAGCAGTGCAAAAATAGAAAACCCTCAGCTCACTTGATACGGTGTCGTTTTATATCCTATTACAAAAAGTGCACAAAAGAAAATAACAAACGCGCATACGCGTTTTATCCCTAAAACCA